CACCCGGCCAGGATTAGCGCGGGGCGTGCGCCCCGGGCCCCGGCCGCTCGCCTGCGGCCTCCTCCCTGTATGGGATTATTTTCCTTTCGCGCGTCAATATTTATCCTTATTGATTAAAGTTTGTATCCAATTTTGTCTCTTAAGAGCGGGGGGCGCGGCGGAGGGGCGAGCCGTGAGGGTGCGGGAAGAGGGCGTGAACCTTAAGAGACGCAGCAGCCGGGGAAGCGCCCTCGGAGCGGATGGGCCAGCGGCCGGGGAGAGCCGGCTTTCTCGGGGAGGGGGAGCCTGGCCTGGGAAATGGGGCGGGGGCGGCCGCGGCCAGGCCGGTACTTACTGGTTTCCGAGGCCCTCGGCGGCGAGCTCGGCCGCGAAGCGGGGCTGGCTGAGGGCGGCGTGCGGGGGCGGCCTTCCGGGCCGAGCGCTGCCCAGCGCGAACACAGTACCAAACAGTCCCGAAATAAAGCAGGTAACACGTGCGCGCTCCGTATGTCTCTCTTCACTCCAAGATTCGCGCTCACGCGCGGGTGACCGGGTGGCGTTTTCTCCTCGGCACCCCACCTCCTCTTCAGCTTCTAGGCAGTACTGGAAGCTGGTAGCCGCGATCGATCACCCTGGAAATATTTTCATTTTGCTTAACATGGAAGAAAAGATAACAGTGGGCGTCTACTTCCTTTCTTCTTCTTCTTTTTTTTAATCCTATGTTTGCTCCTTTACCCCCATGTTACAAATGGTTTATGTCTTTAAAACCTCAATCTTGAAACGTCAGTATGTCGAAATACGCTCTTGCCCTTCCTGGATGCCGCTGGAATGCTCCTGGGAGCCTGGGGAACATGGATTAGACAGTCCCGGCTTCTGGGGATTAGGGATGGTTTGGTGAGGAGGTTGAAATGAGTGGATAGCTTGGGATTCAAGGGCTTTAAAAGGGTCGCGCGGCCAGGGCCAGGGCTAAGGCCCAGCATTTCCCAGGGATTGGAATTTAGCGCGGAGCACACAGACCAGAAGCTTCTCAGCTCTCACAGGCTCGAAGCACGCCACGTTGTAAGGAGGTGTTAGCCCAAGAGAAGAGGGAGGTGGAGACGCATAGGTCACGAGTACCTTTCCCCTCCTCTTTAAGGTAAAACACCCCAGCCATGCAAGCATTCTTCACTTTGATGAGCTCTTAGCTAAATGATCTGGCAGACTTGATATTTTTTTAAAAAATGGAGGGAGAAAAAGCAGGGCCTATGTGTGACGTTAAAATCTAGCATAAAAATGTAATAATAATAATAATGATACTCAAAATAATAGGGAGCTATTCCACTGTTCCCACCCCCGACTTTGAAATGGGGCGCGGGGAGAGGGGAAGAAAAGAGAGAGAAACTTTGGAGAGAATAATATACACAATTATAAACAGGAATGTTGTAAGGGATCTTTGAACATTTGTCCCCGAATATCCTTTCACTGGTTGGATCTCTTCCTACATATCCGCTTACTTTAAAACAAGCTATGCATGAAGAAAAATTCCAGGGTTCTAGCAATCAACTTAGCAAGCCACATCTGCGGCGCCAAAGGTTGATTTCTAAGCTTGGGGTTTCTCACAGAAGCCTGGCGAGGCAGTGGGCTTTGCCAACCCAGCTAGAGATCTGTGAGCCTGAGTCGTCCGGTTCACTTCCCCTGCCACCCTTTCTCCTCCTCAGGCCCATTCTTCACAGTGGTTCCTCAACTGGCTGGCTTTCCTTCCTCCTCCCCTCTTCCGTCTTCCCTTTTCGCTCACCCACCCCCTCCTCCCTCCCTCCTTTCCTCTCCCCTCCACTCCTCCACCTACTCCTCCCCATCCCCCCAGCCCCCCTTCTCACCACCGCTTATAATGGCTCTCGGGGCTCCCTCTGAGGTGGACGGCCCGGTACGTTTTTCGTAGTCGGTCTAGCGTGAAATGATTCGGTGTAACCGGATTCTTGGGAAAGGACAGGTTACGTAAACATTTACTGATGTGGAGTAACTATACTATTTGTACTCTGATATGCAGGAAGGAAAGTGTTGATTAACACAGAAGAAAAAAAAAGCGAAATTAGCTGATTGCATGCTCATAAGTGCAAGCTGTCATTGAACTGCTTTTAAAATAGACACAGCTGGGTGTTTGTGTTGAAAAATTTCTTGTGTTTTTGCTAATACTGAAATAAGCATGATTTTGTATACCAAACATTTTCAGATCATTAAAATTTGTAATCTGTGCTGGTTTTAAACACAAAGAAAAGAAACAGAATCATTTCGATGTAAAATTTGCTGATATTATATTAACTCAATCAGGTCTGTACAAATTGTGCATTGTGTCTCCTAAAATCTGTTTGATCAATTTAATACACAAAGTGCCAAACGTGGGTATTGTTTGTTAACATTGGACATTTTATTCCAATCTGAGCTCAGCAGTGAACTGGAGGAGTGTTCCTTGAATACAACACCAGCTCTGACTGATGAATTTTTAATGTTTTGAGGTGCTTCTTAGGTTAAAGCTAAGTGTGCATTGTTTTGTTACCCTGTAGAAGAAATTAGCAGGCGAAGTAAGGTTTTCTGCCGTTTACTTTCAAAAGGCAAAAACTGGGTTTTGTGAAGTAAGAGCTGCCATAATCTGATTTTATATGTCAATGCTTATAGTGGCCTGGAAAATGTTTTTGCATGCAAATTAAGGATGTGCTGTGTTATTTTAAGGTTGCATGAATGCAAATCTCTCAAAATAGGGCGTTTTACAGTAAAAATATAGAATACAGTTTGATATAATATTAAAACTAGTTTCCTGATGCAAAGGTTATTTGTAATTTCCAAAAAAAGTAAGTTTGAATCCCTTTAAATAATTTTAATTGCTCTTTATGATGAGATGGGACTATATATCAGAATGCACACAGATATATTTATATCAGCCTTCTTTAACAAAACATGCACTGTTTACTCAGCGGCTTATATTTGTATCAGCAATGGTTTCTTTTTAGATCTGCTGTTAGCTGTAACGGGGGAAGGGGCTTCTGGACAAAGTATGGTGAAGCTGAAAGTCTCTGGATGGGGCTCTGTATATCCTACCAACCAATTTGGGTGCAAATTGGATTTGAAGTCCTGCCCACGTCCACCATGGACCTCTTCTCTCAGCACATAAAGGCCTCCTCAGCCTCTGTGATTACCTTCAGAAGACAGGGCAGGCAGCCAGTGGTCTCAGACCGGAAACAGTGTCCCCCCCCCCCAATCAGGACAAGTTTCCCTTCTAATCAATTTAACCTCACACTTGTGAATCTGCAAATGTGTAGTGTTCGTGAAGTAGTAGATATAACAGCATATCAGAGCAAATGCGACTTGTTGTTTTACATAGTGGTGAACTTGTAGGCCTCAGTTTTCATTCACCACCCACCCACCCCCAAAAGAGGACAAGAATTGTATGGTGAGCAATTCCAATGGAAGAGTGTCTTGGGAAATGAATTAGATTATTTCTTTTAGATTTTTTAATTAACCTCCAAGACTCCACAGCATACTTCATCTGAGCAGGGAGCAGCTCATTTTCATTTCCTTTCTGAGGGTGGATGTTACATTGTCTTCCTTGGGGACAATTCTTTGCTTGGGGCCTTCCTTGCCTCCTAGTAACAAGGGTGGGCCATATTATCTATCTCCACCTTTCCCTTGGGAGCAGGGACAAACTCTAGCTAAAGTTCTCTTCTTACAAATGCACAGGACCGTTTGTGACCCCTTGACACGTGGGAGTCAGCAGATACCATGCTGAGACATCCAGGTATTTTCCAAGAGAGTCTGTAACAAATGAAGTCCGCCCTCCCTAGAGCCAACTTGTCTGTAATCGCTCCCTAACAGCAGGTAATGGTGCTAACATTTAGTGATTAGAAGTTACTCTTTAGCTGTTGTAGCCTTGTTCTGTGGGTTTTGGTTACAGGTTATACGATTAGGTTTGCGAGAACAGTAGTGAACTAAACTTCTCAGTAAGAGGTCTTCACACCAGGGAAGTGTTACTTTTCCTCAGCAGCCCTGCCTCGTCACTCATTAGGGAGCCGCAGGTTGTCAGAGGCTGCTCTCTGCAGGCTCATGCGGGGAGTGGGTACACACACACACACACACACACACACACACACACACACACACGGCTCTAAAACTAAATTAAGAAGCCGATGATTAAGACAAGCGTCTACTAGGGCTGTCATTTCAGCATCCTTCCATCATAACATTGTGGCACCGGCAATTTTGCTTGAGAACCTTGAGAAAAAAAAATTCTATGGGAGAGCCTCATATCCGAGAGTCGAAATGTTTAACTTCTATAAGCTAGGGAACCACCTCAGAAAACAGAAAGTTAAAGGAGGAGGAAGAAGAGGGGGGAAGTAGTCTTCATGGAAACCCATGGAGTTCTCTGGGCACGCCTCTTTGACATAGCCATGTGTCCCATGTGCAGTGAAGCCAGATCCACTGGCTCCCCAACACTCCTGGTGCCACCAACCCCAGAGAGACTCACAGCATAATGCCATCACCCTAAAGCCAAGACCCCTTGAGTTTCTCTGAACAACTTCTCTGTAGAATACCCCGAGCATCTCTGGTGAATAGGAAGGCCTGCTGCCCTTTTTTTTTGTGTTTTCTGCTATTTGCCAGCAGCTTGGGACTTTTGAGAGTGGGTAGTTTAAGAAGTTGGAGCCCCTGGTAAGTAAGAAGGGAGGCTTGGCTCCACTTGCAGATCAGATCCAATTCGGAGAAATCCTCTCACAGGCCAGCTGGGCAAGCCAGCCCTGAAAAGTGAGTGTCTGTATTTTCTCCTAGTTGCCCAAGGAATCAGTGCAGTCTACTTTCCCAAGAGGACAGGAAAGAATGAAGAGAGAAGAGAGAGAAGGGAAGTCGTATGGTCCCAGAACTGGAACTGGAAGATAAGGCTATGTTTCCTAGTTCTTCCCCACCCCATCCTAGTCTTTCTGAAAAGGAAGCAAATAGACTTACACAATCCAGCATGTATGACTATGCTGTCTTTCCTGGTTTGTCCATCAATGCATCTTGAAAGGAAAAGAAAGAAAATGATTTCATAAACACACACACACACACACACAGTGAAACAAAAGCTTGCAGGCTGGAAAAGTGCAGGGCTCCTATGACCCAGGGGCCTTAACTATCCCATCACTGGTCTTAGTTTTTCGGAGCATCAGTGTGATTTTCAGTGGGAGCCTGAATCACCTTCCTGAGAACACAAACATAAAATCCCCCGTGTTTTGAAGCACCCTTTCAGAAGGTCCCCCAAACTGCATTTGTGAAAGAAAACTGGGGGGGGGGGGATGTGTGACTAAGTTGCAACTATTAGGTGGTCAGCTCAGAAACGGTCAGCCCTCAACAGTAAACGCACACAGAATGTGTAGGGTACCCAAGGGCTGTGTGAGAGACGGATATATAATACAGGGACAACTAATGCCCATTGTAAGTCTGGAGAGGAATAAGGAGATGGAAAACTGCATGCTTAAGGGTACTAGGAGAACCTCGGTCCCAAAGGCTCCCTTAGTCCAGGAGAGAAAGTACTAATAAAATGTCTGCTTTCTTACCAAAAATTAAAACCAAGCCCCCAAAACAAGACAAACAAAAATCCAACCAACCAAACACAAAAACTTCCAGGACAAACCAATGCGCACAGTTCATACCCACCTGCCTCTTCCTTCTCTAGTGCTGGTTCTTCTAGGTCCGTCCCACGCCCCACCCTACCCAACCCAAAGCGGAACAAAACCTGTGGCACCAGTGTTTGCCAAAGGTCCCGTCTGCCCACCCTCTTGGGGTGGCAATGGCTCTGGGGCCGCGGTTCCTGGCGACCGAGCTTCGCCGGCGGACTCGCTAGTCAGCACGCCTCTGCTCTCCTCTCCTCCCTCCGCGCTCACCCTGAGCTCCTTTGTCGTCCACGCCTGCCAAGTGCAATCCAGCCGGAGAGAGGCCTTGCTTTTAGGTTTCATCTCCAGATCCCCCCTCCCCTTCTGAAAAGGCAACTTTCAGCTTAGATGTCTGGTTTTTGCACATCAGACTGGAAGTACGCACCAACAGATCAATATTTTTGGACTTTATAGGTCATCTGCCATGGTGAACGCGGGCGGGGGGCGGGGGGGATGGTGGTGGTGGTGCGGGGAGGAAACCAGTTAAAGGTTGTGAGCTTGTATTGATAGAGTGCACAATTCTGAGCTGAAATACCAGTGCGTGGTGCTGAAGTTAATTCGAATATTCAATAACAACTAAGGAGTATTGAACCCAGTGGGGGAGCGCAGTTACACACCACTTCTCTCCGGATCTTCCCAAGAAGCCACATGCAGGAAGGAGACATCCGACAGAGCAAGCTAGATGCAGCAGGGCACAGAAGCAAGCTGCTGCCGTCACCAAATGAAAACTAAACCAGCCCAATTCCTTTTCAGAACTGACAGCGGAGGTGGTGGGGCATTTGTACATTAAACAATCCCGGGTGGATCTATTTCGCCAAATTCGGTGTCTCCCTCCTGGGTTTGTCCCGAGACATGCAGGGGGAAAGAAAGCCATGTCTGGGATGAAAGCTCAGTCGGGCAAGTTTGGCTCTGAGCTAGTGACAAACCGTCACAGCAAAGGGGCTCGCTGTCTCTGTCTTCCTTTCTTTCTACCTCCTCCTCCTCCTCCTCTCTCTCTCTCCCTCCTTCCATTTCTCTCTCCTCCTCCCTCCCTCTCTCCTTCCTTCTTTCCACCATCTCTTCTTTTCTCCTAGAACGCGAACTTGTTAGATAAGAAAGAAGAGAGACCCCTAGGAAACGGAAACTCAGAGGAAGCCCAGCTCTTGTCAGAGCAGGCGCTGCGGCTGGCTGAGGGCGGCCGCGTGGTCTCCGAGCGAGCACAGCGCGGTAGAAAGGTTCACCCCAGTGCTTTCTCGGCCTAAGGCTTTCCGGCCGCCTGCAGGGCCAGGCGCTCCGCTCGCTCGGATTTCTGCCCAAGCAACCCACCCTTTGGCCTTAGAATAAACACCCCCAAAGAAGAGAGAAAGGCCCCCAATTAAGCTAAGTATACGCTACTAACTGTCTCACATCACAAAACTGGGCCTGAAGGGTTTCATAGAGGGAGTTCTAGGTCCAGATCACAAAATAACTCGCGAGTGAGAGAATCTGGGTATTGAGGAGGTCTGGAATTGTGCATGAAACATTATTTCCTAATTAATTAAAGTAATTCTCCTTCTCTCTTTATATTCATGTACATGCTATTGATTACACGCCCCTATTTGCTTGAAAAAGTGCTCAGAGTATCTTTAGAGCACACTGCTCTTTCTTTGTCCCCTCTAACATTTACAGCTGATCTTGCGGCTGGTTGAGATCAATTAGCACTGGATTTTGCCCCGGGATTGCTCCCCAGGGCGGACAATTGGAGCCAACTGGTCTCCAGAGACTTTATTCGCCCGTGTGTATCCGCCAGGGCTTCGTAGTCAGTTCAAAACCCCAAGCCTCGGTTTCACTTGATTTTGTTGTTGTTGTTATTGATAAATATTGGGTCATACACAAGCCACTTGTCAGAGCCTTTGGCTCCATCTCACAGCGGCAGCTCCTAGCGGGGCGTTGGAGTCGTGTCCTAGAAGCTGAAAAGATTTCCTGGGAAGAGAACTACACATTCTCTGCTCCTACAGTTTTGGAGACGGCCCTATAAGATTATAGTCCTGCCCATGTGCTCTCGGGTTTGTTCCTTAATTTGCTCCAAAATACGGACACTGAGTAGAAGGGTGTGTTTCACCCATTTAAAAAAAATGTAATGATTTAAAGCGGGGTGTAAATTGATGCTACTCCTTTAAGTATGTCTGAAGCCCAAAGAAAAGCCCAAATACATAATGGTTGTAATTGTGGGGAGATGGAGGATGAGTTGGTAGGTAGGGCACTTGAGGGTTGTGTAATTACAGTGGTGTATACAGTTTATCTTTCAGCTGTGCTGTGTATATCCCATCCCCTTGATACATACTGCATATGAACAGAATCCATGGTCGGCTTGCCTCGGCATGTTTGAAGCCCCAGACATCCAACAGTATCATTACCGGAAAGAGATAAAGCCCCAAAGACTCCATCAGGCAAGGAGGTGACTGCCTTTGGGGCGAAAGGGGAGTTTCCTTGGCATTGAACTTGTCAGGAAAGCACAGCCACTGCCCGGACTCCCTTGATAGAGTTCAAGTCTTCCCGATGCTGAAGTAGGGGTGTGTGTGTGTGTGTGTGTGTGTGTGTGTGTGTGTGTGTGTGTGTAACCAACTGATTTCCGACATTTCAAAGAGATTCTTTCTATTTCTCGGCATTACCGAAATGTACGTTACCGGAAAAAACAGTAAAACAAGCATAGAACTGCAATTTTCAAGAAAATAGGATCTCCAAATATAAAAATAAAAAAAGTAGCAGATAAGATGTATAATTCAATCAAATTACACAAAATTGCTTGAAAATCCAGAACAGTAGCGATCCATTATGCCTCTGTTTTATTAGTGACAAGTACAATCACGCTAAAATAAAGAACACTGGTGAATATATAATTGGCTGTAATCATGTTAGTGTTTGAATAAAAATGACGGGAACATTTAACACTTTGACAACAAAATGTTCAGAAATAACTTATTTATTCAAACAGTTTTTTATTTTCCACCAAGCGAAGGAGAAACACAGTTTGCTTAGGAAAATCAATGACTTTTCCCTGCAATAAATAAATACCCCAAAGGGGAAAAACAGCCCCACACCTCTATATTATTACTACTATTATTTTTAACCACCAAGAAGCTTAATCCTATGTGAAGTCAACACTTCGCCTAGTGGTTGTTTGGTACTAAAGTCCGCCATCTAGAGGAACAGCTGTGTAGCGCAATGCCAACCTTTTTACCCCCGCGGTGACCCGGAGAATTAAAGTTAATATTCCTTTGCAAATTGCTGTCCAAACTAACTCCCCCACTCCACCCCCTCATATCCCCTTACGCCCTGCAACATCGTCACAATATTTTCTTAGTAATTGTTATGCTCAGTTGACAAAAGCACAGACTTTCTCGGTTAGAGTAAGAACTCCCGGGGAAGTGTCAGGGAGTGCGCCGGGGAAGCGGGTCAGGGCTGGGGGAATTCTGGAGAGATGATCCGATTTCACCCGGGGTTCATCTAGAGCAACCTGATTTCAGGTCCCTTACAGGAGCAGCTTAAGAGGGAATCACCACATGCCCGCTTTCTCCGGTTTTGCGTGGAGAAAGCAGCCAGAACCACGGTCCGACTTCACCGCACCCGGCTCCGCCAGCACACAAAGATCTGAGCTCCTGCCTTTATCTGATTAGCCCAGTAAGCCCTTCATCGACCTAGCTAGGCTGTTGGAAATACCTATAATGCAGACTTCGGTTGTGCGCCTCAAGTCAGACCCACCCAAGAGAAAAATCTAGATTTCTGCGCAGTGGTGGAGTTTCAAGAAACGTCTGGAGTGCGCGGGAGAATTTGGGGCTCGGCTTGGTGGGACTATGAACCTTTAGCCTTTTGGTCTTGTTAGATCTCCCAGATCTTCAAGGGCCGGGGGAGGGAAAGCCACTCTTCCTTCTCATCTACTTTAATTTAAGCTTTGGGCAAGGACGCGCTAAATCAGGGCGAAGGAGGGTAGATGGAGAATTCCCTTGTGTGCGGTGCATTTTCAGTTAGCGGCCGCCGCAGCCGCCTCTGCTGTCCCCGTGGTGATCCAGGACAGCCATTCATTCAGTTGTCTCCGCTTCACCCCAAAGTTTGATTTCATCTGCCCCAAGTTACCTTGAATACTGTTCAAGCTACAGTTCACGAGCAGGGCGAGAAAGGAGCAGGGCGATTGAATTCATTTTGAAAAATAACTGTAATAAACACTCGAATTTCAGCTGGGTTTCATCTCTCCCATGTCCCTGGCTCCTTCTCGCCATTTCTTCTTCTTCTCTCTTAGATTTCTCGCCTTTCATTCACCCTCCCCTTTTCTCTCTCTTTCCTAGTCTATATCTACTGAAGATTGCCCAAGAGGAAGATGAAGGAACAGTGTGAAGGTGGTGCAGGGACTTTTTTGTTTTTCTTTTTTGTTTTTGTTTTTTTAAAATTCGGGGTCTCAGATGGTCCACTCTGGAGTTTCGATACCTCTAAGAGACTATTCTTCCTTTTCTTCTGGCCCAATGCAACCTCAGAGTCATGAACCAAGAAACCATGTTCATGTATAAGTTATTTTTAAAGTAGCTAAATAGCATTTTTTAAAACCACAGAGTCTAAATTGATGCTCCATTGGAAGGCTGCCCTGTGGCCCGAGGCCTGAGTGTCCTAAACTCATTCTGCCCAAGAGCCCTAAAAATCTCAAGTCCCCAGAAATGTGTGTGTGTGTGTGTGTGTGTGTGTGTGTGTGTGTTATGCAAAACCAGCTCTTCCACTCTCCACTCCCAGGTCTATCATCCCTCTCCTGCATTATATTAATGGCGTGCTAGCCTTCCTCTACGTGTGTTGGCTGCTAATGCGAGCCACTTAATGCTCATCTGTGGAGATTTTCCCAAGGCTGGTTGCAATGTTGGCTCTTTTTTTTTTCTTTTTCTTCTTCTTGTTTTCTTTTCAGGGCACGTTCATCCCTCCCTCCCTCTTCTTCTTTTCTTGAGATGGGGTCTGGAAAGGGGGTCCAACAACTTTCAGTGAGTGTGTAAAGCTCCCTCCCATTTCTGCCGCTTGTCAATTACCCTGGGATGGACAGGGCAGCTTTGGT